ACCGGATATCCAATGGGTTAGTCGGGTTAACTAAGTTTCATTTTGCCTTTAAAAACCCCAAAACAACTAAAAAAAGGGGGGGGGTCAACTAATTAGTTTAGCTCAGCTGAAATTAGAGATCAATCACATAATAGAGGACATTCGATGTTGGCCACCCTCTCTACGTTCAAACTTGGCTTAGCTCTTTTCTTAAATTGTGTGTGTGTGTGAAGCTTTTATCTAGTCTCAGTTTATTCAATGCATGAGTTTTCTTAAATTGTGCGTGTGTGTGAAGCTTTTTATCTAATCTCAGTTCATTCAATGCTTGAGTTTTCTTAAGTCAACTTATTTGAAATTTAACTCCTTAAAATCCATGGCTAAAAATATTTTTATTATTATTGTTGTATTGGTACCTTATATAAGAGATTAATCTTGAATTTGATTGAATACTTTTATAATTAATGTCTTTTTATTTTAATTATATTATTTTAATCATGAACGATTGGCCAACCTATAACCTAGTGCTTTGATTGGTTCAATAATCAGTCCATTTTAAATACCTTGATTAATTTAGTTTTTGGTGCCTTGTTATTAGTGATTGAATCAGAAATTTTAAAATATGGTACATATACATGCATTTTATGAAAGCATTGATTAGAACTAAAATTATTAACTATATTGAAGATCATTTATTTACAGTTGCCCCCATTAATTGTAACGTCGGGTACTTCACTGGTACTCCAAGGTATAAAATTTATACAAACTCCAGATGTGCTGGAGGCCAGGTAAAGTACCATATAAGTGTAATATATTTCCATTATTTATACTATTTATGAACTTGCATATATCTACGACACGTAACAATCTTTTTGAGCATAAATACTATAATAGCCCTCCGTTCTAAATTATATGTTTTCCCATGGAAAAAAAAATTCTTTTATTTTATACATCCTTTTGGAGTAACTAATTTTAACTAGTTTTTTTTTAATTTAAACTCCCTCCGATCTTTTATATAAAGTGTTTTAAATAATTTTTTTATGTAAATTAAAAAAATTATGTTTATACACTTGTTAAGACTGGTTAGCGACCATGTGGAAAAGGAAAAACAAGTGATATTAATATAAAGATATTATATTTTGGCTCAAAACCTTACGGTTTAAGTTTATGAGTTATTCTTCTTTCTTATGTATTAGTGGTTAACCTCAACTTTGACATGAAACTTTTAACATCATCTTAAATTCACTCACACTTTGACAACTTAATAATACTTATAGTTTCATCCAGTTTTGTTTTTAATCCTTATAGTTTTTTTCAGTGTTTTTAGTTTTTATAGTTTTAAAAGATTAAGCAACTTTTGTTTTTTAGGTCCCTATAGTTTTTATTTTTTTTTTCAATGGTTTTAGTCCTATAAGATCAAAAATACTGAAAAAAACTATAAGAACTAAAAGTAAAATCCGATAAAACTATAGAAATCAAAGATTATATTTTTCCTGTTAATTCAATTATACCTTTATTAATTCATGTTTATATACTTCATAAAAATTAAAGTTATTAGAATAAAAATGAAACATAATTTAATGTTTTTAGAGTAAAAAAATTTGATAAGTTGTTTGAACTATAGTATAGAAATTCGGAGCAACCCACCTAAATGAATCAATAAATTGTTAAACTATTTTTTAACTGGTTTAATAAAATGATTTGTTTATAACCATTTTGATCACAGTTTCACAATGATTTTGACAATTAATCCTTAAATTAATGTCTTTAACAATAATGATCATTTTACTTTTCAATATCTTATTAATTTTAAACTCAAGAAAATTATACATAAGTACCACTTAAAATAATTAATTAAAATATAATATGTTGTCATTCTTCTAAACTCAATCGTCAAGAAAACTAGAAGTAAGTAATTATATTGAATTAGATTTTAAGTAACTCTCCCTTTAAACTTTGAAGGGCGACAAGGTTCCGCGAATCCACGTACACCTTTTCACCAATTTCTGATTTCTCCCTAGCCAAGACCACTCAAAAGTGGAGGGCTCGTATCGTAGGTCATAGAATATTATAACGCACCACTGTGTCATGTTCTCCTTCCGCCGACGAGGAAAGTGACGTCGAACGACCTGATGAAATGAAATAGAAGCATACTAAAGGCTTTTTTTTTTCTTTTTTTCTTTTTGGGAGTAAAAAGGAATTTCATTAAGTGAAAAACCTGTACAAGAGGCAACTGGAGAAATCAAAAATTACATCAGAGATTTGTAAGTAAACTGTAAAGGTATGATTATTAGCTAAGACTCTAGTGTATACGAGAAAGTTATCTGCTGTGGTTGTTGAGTCAGCAAAAATCTGTTGGTTTTCTAGCCTCCCAAAACTTCCAGCAAATGATACTGAATCCAATCTTCCAGCAGATATCCATACTTTTTGACTTCCGAGAATTGAGCATCCACAAATCATTAGTGTCCTTTTAGAATTCGGCATATAAATCAGATGGCAGAATCTTCTTCCAAAATTTAAAAGCAAAAGTGCACTCTTTGAGAACATGGTCAACATTTTCGATTGGATGATTACTTCCATTTCTCATCATATTGTTCCACTCCATAGATTGGGAGGCTATATAAGCTGATTTGACTGTGAATTCTCCATTGGAAGTAAGATGCCAGAAGCAAGAAGGATTCTTAGCTTCAGTAACGTTAACAGCAGTATCATGTATTTTCTGAAAGTAACATAATATCAAGTAATAAGTGATTAAAATGATCCCATGTCCACTCACCATTAATTGCCAGTGACATGATCAAAAATTGGTTTTCTGTTGTTCGGCTTCATCGATTTATGCAAATGAGAGATACTTTAGGGGGCCATTATCGCCAGCCCAAAAATCACTCCAAAACTTGATAGTTCTACCGTCTCACTAGGTTCCATTTTACATGCATCTTGGTATCGTGCCAAATATCAGCAATGTTCCTCTAAAAGTAAGAGGAGTTTTGTTTGCGCAAAACCAAAGGAGAAGGTCCTTTTATCCCCTATTTGCCTCGTAGTACTCCCACCCATAAAAGTTCTGGCTCAGCAATTATTTTATAGGCCAATTTAGAGAGAAAAACCTTGTTTGGGGCTTTCAAGGAAATAATACCACAGCCACCATTATTGAGAGGTTGACATAAATCATTTCAATGGTTTTGATATAGATTCTGTTTTTTTCATTGCTCCAAGTTTCTTTAGTTTAACTCATTTAAAACATTAGTTTTTTTATTTTTTTAATATGCCTCGAATCAAGGACGATAAAATGACGTTAACAATATTAAATATGTTAACTTGTGATTAAAATTGTTAATCTGTGCTAAGTGGGATTATGATTCAGTAGATGAACAGCACTGTTCACCTTATTTTGTTTCACTTTCAATATGTTAAAGCATAATTTCACATACAAAGATTAGCTACTAGTGGTCACATGTCAACATATTTAATATCGTTAGTACTATTTCATCATTGTTTTGAACATGTTAAAAAATAAAGAGACTAATGTTGTATACAAGATAAAGTGTAGCGATGTGAAACAATGAAAAAAAATTCAATGATCTACATCAAATTATTGTAAAACTATAAGAACCATTGGATCAATGGTTGTATTTTTCCTTGACTTTTTATGACAAATTTTTTTTTATCTTCCATTTAATATTAGTTGGAGAAAATATATTTTTAAAATATATGTCTTTAATGGAAAAAAATATGAAAATTTATTAAATTTTTAAACATGATTAATATTCTTGATTCTAATAAAATATATTAGAAGTAATTTATAAATAAATTGGAATAACCAATGAGAATTGAGTTTAGTGGAAGATGCTCGTCTTTCATAATATAATAAACCAATGTTTAAAGTTTCTTAAAAAATTTGCTTACCTTTAGCTTTCAATGCTTTCAACTGTATCTCGAATATAATTATTTTTAATAAAAAATACATATGACCAATAAAAAAATTGGAAAGAGTAACCCAGCTTATGGGCTATTGCGGAAATTCAAGTTGTCATCCTGGCCTCAAAAACAAGTTGCAATTGCCCAGAGTGTAATTTGGTATTTAGGCCCAAATATTCACTGCCGAAGTTTCGGGCTTATGTTTGGGCCTCAAGTGCCTTTGGTCATGTCAACTAAAGAAAGCTACTACCTATCACCAGATATTCACCAAAAAATGTAACCAAAAGAGAATGAATATGTAAAGATGTTTCTCCATTAACTTTGTCAATAGTGTATATCTAGTTAATAAGGATACGTCTCCCAACTTATACGCGCATGACTTCCAATTGCACAATAGATATGAGATATAGTTAGTGGGTAATCTCTAGATTTCGTCCAAAATTTCCCTAAAAAATAGTAAAATTCTGCATATTGTAAAATAATATTAAAATTTTAAAAAATAACAATTTTTTGTAAATTTTTAAAAATATCATTTCAATAAATAGTAAATGAGTAGTGATAGATGATTTGTGTTTTCTTGTTAATGTTACGTCAGTGAAATAAAAAATAAATAATGACAAATAATTTTTTCTGGGAGCCAGATAATGTTAAATATTAACTGTGATTTTGTACAAAATATTAATCGGTCGATTGCTTCTTACCTTTAATTAATTAATTGCTAGTTTTATTGTTCACATCCAGTGCTATATGTCATCCCCTACTCATGCCTCAAGCCTGCATCAAAACTTGTTTTTAAATGGTTTATTGCATACCAAAATGACTAAATAAATTATTCAAAGTATTTTAACTAAAACTTGTTTTAAAATGGTTTATTGCCAAAGATCTTAATCTTGTTAATTACCTTAATAGTTTCATCGTGATGTTTCTGATTATTCAACATTCTCATATTGTCTCTTGTGGCCTGACTCTCTCTCTCTCTCTGTTTGTTTGTTTTTCTGTTTGTTTTTTTTTTTGAATGAAAGTTTAGGTGAGTTAAATCTGGGAAGCTTACTAGGACCAAAACATGCCTTTGAGTTTAAAGGCACTTACAAAGCTACTTACATATCACTTATGAACAAGGTCTTCATATTGATTTGAACCTATGACCTTATAAATTATGAACCAAAGTGTAATAAAAAAAATAGACAAATAAATTATTCATTCTACCTAGAAAAAATGATCATTTTACACAAATAATAAATGAAAAAATGATAAGTAAGGACCTTATAAAAAAATTAATGTCAAATCAATAATTTTAGTATTACAATATGGGAAAAAGAATTATGAAGTTGAGAACTTTAGTTGTGAAGAAACCCTAATTTGACATTAATTTTTTTACAGAGTCCTTACTCGTCATTTCCCATAAATCACCCTGATTATACGGTGTCCATTACAAAGAGAGAATTCATATCCTTGAATCAGTTGGAGGTCTTTCTAAACGGAGATAATCATACAAAACACCTTGAAATGAGTCTGAGGCTTCTGACTGCTTGAGATAGATAGTATTGCTTCCCTTCTTAAACCGATCACTTGCTACTTCAATACTGATCAAACTATACAACCCGTGAATTCCATGCCTCGCTATTGCATTGTCTTTTCCCATCCTCGCTGTCTCATAGTGGGGATCAACCTCGCTCGCATCATTGAACCAAACCTAACAATCAACCATCTCATTATATATATATATATATATTACTGAGATCACAAAAGTTTCTCGTGTTGATTCATGACTGTAACACACACACGGGGGCTAAACATGGGAGAGATATATATAGACGAACGAGGGTATACCTGCAACTTAGCTTCATTGGCTGACGCTAAGGCCACTTGAAGCGTGTAGTTTCCTGATGATGTGACATAATCGTCAAGTTCAAATTTAATCTGCCATGTTGCTGGTTGGTATGTGTCATTTCCTGTCCTTCTGCTCACAAAGAAATTATGATCAGAACCAGCTGACAGGGCTTATAAGAACAATATAATGAGCAGCTACATTCGATTATAAGTAAAAGACTATGAAATTAACCTGGAAATGTGAGCAAAAAACCAATTCTTGTCATGCCTATCGACGCCAACATTATAAACGAGGTCTTTCTCCGGGTACAAGTCAGTGTAACGCTCCCACAACCCATATTGTCTAAACCTGTCAAAAGTGAAAAATGAAATTGGTAAAAAGGAGAAGAAAGATCAGTTCAATATGTATATAGCAGCAGTTATATATTATTGTCGTCTAAGGCTTTTGTTTGAACCTGTTTCTCGTATCATTCTGATATAATCTGTTCACAAGCTTAGGGTCAGGGTCTGGTACGTATAACTCTTGGGCTGACCGATCTGGGATACCAATTTCCCATATCGTAGGGCCATTTCTTGAAGGACTAAATACAAGTGGACCCAATTTAATGACACCGCCTGCAAGAACAACCAGCCAACTTATTTAGGAGGTTTTATACTTCAGGTCAAACGACTAAGCTCAGCAACACCTGACATGCATAACATGTTTTCTTTTCTTTTTTTTTTTTTTTTAAAATGTTTCTTGTACCTGGTTTGATGCTGACTGTAGCATTATATCTGTAATCACCAATAAACCCAGGAACCCAGGCATACAGATTATAGTCCCCTGGTATAACGTATTTGATTTCAAAGTAGCCATTCTCATCAGCTTGAGCCCAGAATTGATAACCCTATATAGACATAAGTAAAAATTTTACTTATTTATTCTCGCTGCCAGTTTATGAAACTTATAACACCGAGTGGTAATAGAAATACCTTGCTCTCTATCTGCCATGATCCATTTTCTCCAGGCAGAGCTAGACCAACATAAGCAAACTTAGCGTTTAAAATTCCCCATCCCTTCTTAAACCTGGTAAAGCAAGCAAGCAATAACTTGAGCTTGTCTTCGAATAAATTATTAAATGAGTTTATTACAGTAGAAGAAATGTAAATAATTAACTATGCAGGAACTTGTACCAATCTCGGACTTGTAATTGCCCATTTACTGTTCCACGTTGACCCGGAAGAATGAAATCTGGAGATCGAGGGAAATCATAGGGCCAGCTTTTGACTTCCTCGTTGAACTATTAATGGAGTTTGAAGAACAAGAAGAAATCAAATTCAATGATATACAAAATTAAGAGTACTGTGTAATCGAACGTATTGTTTAAATGGTAAGTTATAGTACCTGTCGAACAGCATCAGACCAGAGCGTATCTAAATCCTCGTTGGTTGAAGCAGAGTTAAGATAGACAAAGATAGGGCCAAACACCTTCTTGTAAGTCTCCCCTTCTTGGAAGTTAATCGACACATTCGTCCCAGCGTAGTGAGTGCTCACAAACATCTGCGCATTCATTAATCTCAACAATTATTCTCGATTGAGATTTAATTTAAGATCGCGTGCTGTGTTTGTCACGATAAATGTTTTAAGGTTGTTGTATTTAAATATCAAGTAAATTTTCGCCTTTTTTTCTATTATTTCCGAATATTCTTGTAAAACATTACTACATAGAAATATGTTTTCAATTCATAATTCATCATTGATGAATATGAAATTTTGATAGAGTTGAAATATTTATAAGTCATAAATATTATTATGACTCTTCGTGTTTGATTCAATTCTTTTATTTTTTTCATTTAATCTTTCTCCCCACATTTTAGTGAATTTTTTAAATTTACTTATTATAGTCTAGCTTAAAAATCCTCTCAAAATTTTAAATTGTTATTTATCATATGCATTGTATAGGAACCTAGACTTATATATATATATATATATATAATCACAATGTGAGCCTCACATGCATGAAGTTTAATTTAATATAATGATGTGTTTGGATGAAATAAAATTTACTTGCATAGATGAATTTTTATCTACCTAAATAATGAATTCAGCCTGAGTCCAAGCTCAAATATCCCTAATTCATCTAGTATATTAATTTTATAAAATTTTAAATACATTCTTATTCTAACCTCATTATTTCAAGTATTCACTCTTTTTTTTATAAAATGAAAATAAAAAATTATAAAAATATTTACTAATCACCCATCAACAAAGTTTGATTCCATGATCTTGTGAGCTATGGGTTAAATTTTTACTAAAAGGACTAATTTTTGTTAGTATTTCAATATATGAGTTATAATTTAAATTTATTTTATACTAATGAAATAAAAAAAATAAAATAAAAACCCATCCATTAAAACATTAGGACCACCCAACGTCACCAATTTAATTATAGATTGAAGATGACGCACGTAAGGTTGAAATAAGGTCATTAGATCATTTGACTAATCGTGGGGACCACTAGGAGAGAAGAGACTTACAGCAAGGGAGGTGGGGCCAACATGAGACGTAAGATCTTGTTTGTGGGGCCCAGCATTACGAAACTCATTACTGGGCGCGATAACCCAGAAGCCGGTGTGTGGTTCTGTGTCAAAGCTAATCCATCCATGCACACAGTTGTCTTTGTTCTCCGCCGAGTACTGGTATTTGTCATCCACCTAATCAAACCCACCATAGACCAACATTTTTTACTAATTAACCCTTAAGTTTTTTTTTTTTGGGTAAAAAAACCACCTTATTACATTTAAGAGAGAACATAATCATTAATTCTTATGCTTTTAATTATCGAGAACATAATCATTAATTCTTATACTTTTAATTATCATGTTTCGTTATTGGTATTTGTAGTTTAATTTTTATTACTCCATGTCCCTATAATTTTTCTCATCTACAATGTTAATACTTCTATTTTTAATTATATTTGGAGAGACAATGATGTAATTGGAGAGACAATGATATAATATTAACAGTATTAAATTATCTTACACCTTGTTTGATATGATTAAAAGTTTTTGTTGGAATCCTTATATTATTTTTATTTGGTATGTAAGATATAGAAATAGAATTATAATTAAAAGACAAAAACACCAATTAAAATTAAAATTAAATATATATATGTTAAATGCTTAATTGTGTTTTAATTTCCTCATGTATTTATTATACAAATAAAATATTACATATAAATAAAATATTTTATAAAAGAAATATTATAAATATACAAATACACACACACACACATGATACTATATATATTATATAATTTATATAAAGATTTCTATGGCCAGAATAACACCTGGGCAAAGAACAAAAAAAAAAAAAAGATAAAGACGGCCGAAAAAAACACAAAAAAAAAAACCTCAACGATCATCATCTGAAGGACTAGAAGTTTCGACACCCACACAACACAAGCTTATTTGATTTACAGGGCAAAGTTGTCTTTCCAAATTTTTATAAGGATAAAATTGTCTTGAAAAATAAGATTTCATGAAATTAGTCCAGATTTCATCGCTTTAAGCAAGGAATCTAATTTAGGCTTATTTCATGGAATTATGATTCGTGAGAATTCTAATTTATATGAACCAAACATCACTTAATATTTTTATCCCAATATCATTTCTATTTTAAGATTCAGCTATACCAAACACGGCCTTACATGTAACTAATGTTGCTTTGTTAAATCTTGAATGTTGATAAGAAAAAAAGAGAAAGCAATCATAAAATCCAGAGTTACAAAAATCAATGAGAAGGAACTGAAAACTGTATATGTTTGACCACATGTAGACAAAATAAACCCCAGCATCAACATTAACCACAAAAAAAAAAAAACAATCACTAGCTTTAAAATCAAAAAATAAAACAAAACATATTATATTGTTGTTACGATCAAAACCAAGCAAAGATAAATAGACAAGTTCGAATTAAAGTTTGTAAAAACGAATAAAATAAAACTTAACTTTTGTTTAACGCACAGTAAAATGATGTTAGTTACATGTTAGATAATTTAATATTGTTAGTACTATATCATCATACCCCTCTGAACATATTAAAAATAAAGGGACTAACTGCAGACGAGAAAAATTATAGGAATCTAGGGGAACCAAAAAAAAAAAAAAAGCTAACATCATTTTACTGTGAAACCATAAAGATCAATAGTTGTGTTTTCCAACTATTAATACACAATGTCAAAATCATGAGAGAAATTAAAGACGAACCTCTCCTCTAATTCTTGGGTCCTTCGCATTGGTCAAAAGAACAGCTTCAGGATAAGCAAGTTTCTGTCCGGTGCTTCTATCCTCAGCTGTTGGCATCACTCTTTGCCTCTTCCCTGATATAGCCATATAGTGGAACCTGTACCACGTTTCTTTTCTGTTAACCTCACAATCATTTTTCTCGGATTTCAATTGAATTTGTAATTATTATTAATTACTTGTCTTGTCGGAGCTTATAAACTAGCCTAATCTGAAAAACCCGAGCTGCTGGAAATCCTTTTGGCCGCTCAAATATTGCGTACGAGTAATATCCCGAGTCGCCTCTTCGCATTATATACCTATAACGACAGTAATCAAATTCTCATTTATCGCATCTGTTTAATTTGTTCTTGGTTTCAATTCATGGTGAAACAAAATATATCGGATGTTCTGTTCACCTCATGTCTATTTTTATAGGGACTGATCCGATCATGGAAGATGTCCATTCTCTTAAAAATGAAACTTCTAATTGATCTTCAGTCTTTTCTATAACTGAGAACTTGGTCCCTTTGATTCTGCTTATACAGATGCAAAACAGATTCTCATCAGATTACTTCAGTTTAGAAACAGCAGGGTTTGACATAACTAATAATCTTAATTAATTCCAAGAATCTTACTTCTGAAAACCTTGATTCCAAACAACGTCAAGATACCTGCAAATATGAAATGATAATTGGATAGGTACGTAAGTTTCCATTATTGAATTGCGACTTGACTTATTGTTAGTTAGTTTAATGGGAAAAGAAAAAGAAAAGAATGAAAATGAAGGAAACAAGAGAGAGTGATGTAATAATAATAATAAAGTAGGTACATATACAAACCCTCTATTATCATTTCCGTTTTGAGCTTCGAGTACATTGTCAATTCCATTATAAGATATTGCAAGGACGTAGCCTTCTGGTCTGGACAACGTAACGCGGATGATTCCATTATCCATCACAACCTGAAAATCAAACCCATTTTGGCCATAGATATATGTATGTATGTATGTATGGATTTGTATGGTCAAAAACGAAAAATTTGTTTCTTTTCACTTTGAACCCAAGGAACTTTTCACACCTGGTTATGATTTTTTTCATCCAGCTTAACAGCAGGCGAAGTTGACGGTTGTGTGAGGTTATTATTCTTCAGCAAAGCTCTTCTGCCATTGGAGTATATTTATCAGGTCATCATATCAAAGATCAAATAGTCAAACATTCGTGTTCAGTTTTAACTTTTAACGAATAAAGCTGAGTAAAAGACAGGCATAAATTAATGATCTCTCTCGGACTAGTAAAAAGGGTACAAATTATTTCTTTCTTCGTCGCATTGGAAGTGTTTAGTTTTTCTTATTCAGAAAAGTCGTTTTTGATGACTTATTGGATATGAACGGAGGGACCTTCCCCCCCCCCCTCCAGCTCCAATCAAGAAGAGAAGAGGTAAATATCTATATTTAACCATTAACTATTTTTTCAAAAATATTAGGTAATCTATACTATAAAATAATATAAAATAAATTCTCAATTTTTAAAAATAGAGCATCTAATAGTCTTCATTAATTTTTATTTGACGGATGTTAACTTTTCATGTGGGTCCACAATTTTGACTAAAAATAATACATGACATGTCACCTTAGCAAATAAAGATGCTAATCTAGCCATGGACTATTTTTTAATGAGCACTGGGTAGCCTACTATAAAAAACAGACCGTATAACATTTTCTCATCAATTTTGACTAAATGCCATTTATTTTCAAACTCATGGGACCCACAATGTGTTAATCTTTTCAATTTTCTTACAATCATTATTAGTCTCACCTTGAGAAGAAGAGACTCAAAATGTTTTTATTTAAAGACATTCATTGAGACAATGCCAACAAAGCTTGAGTCAATCTTCTCCCATGCATAATAGTATCGTAATTCAAACTGCTACTTTACTTAAATTGTCACATAAATTTAAACAAAACCCTATCTTTTTTTTTTCCTTTTCTTCTACTTCATTGGCATTGTTCTCGTGGGTATCTTTAAATAATAACTTTTTGAATATCTTCTTCTCGAGTTGAGACTGAGATTGAAGGCAAGAAAATTGAAAAGACTAACATGTTGTGGGTCTTACAAGTCAAAAAAAACAAACGTTTATCAAAATTGATAAAAAGGTGTTGGATAGTTTGCTTTTTTATAGTAAAAGCTACTTAGTACTCCTTAAAAAATAATTCATGACTAAATTTGTACATTTATTTGCTAAAGTAGATTGTCCAATGTCATTTTCAATCAAAAATTATGGGCTCCATATGAAAAGTTAACGTCCGTCAACTAAAAATTAATGGAGGCTATTAAATGCTCTATTTTTAAAAGTTGAGAATTTATTTTGAACTATGTTATAATATAGGTTACCCAGTGTTTCTGAAAAAATAATTAAAGACCAAATTTGTACCTTAACCCAAAATTAATGAGGCTAAATCGGTTGTTCAAGACACACAGAAATTGCAGAACCTTGAGGCGCGCAGCTAAAATTTCCATTCTTCTTGGTCTCAAATATTATTGGTCAACTAATTGGAAATTAAATGATATATTTTTCTTAAAATCTTAAGATGGGCTAGTTGATAGTTAATAGTTATCTAATGGAACAGGAACGGGAACATGAACATGAATCCAATTAGAAATAATTAACATGTGAATTCTCTCTCTGTCTACCTAGCTAAGCTAGCTCTCTCTCTCTCTCTCTATATATATATATATATGTTTGAACGTGAAATACTCTTACTTTTTTATATGCTAAAGTATAATTTTAATCTTCTAACTTTATATAAAATTTTGATTTGATCTTTTAATTTTGTAAAATATCTTTTTATTCATTTAACCCTAATATCATTACTTTCAAATGATTATTTTTGTATTAATTATTGTTACTTAAAAAAATAAACTTAATATGTTAACATCTGATAATATTTTGTCAATATTATTTGAAAGTTCAATGAAATTTTTTTTTCAATAAAACAAATGATGTTAAAGTTAAAGAACTAAAAAAATAATTTATAAAATTAAAGGACTAACATAAAATGTTATATAAAGTTAAAGGATTAAAAGTATACTTTAGCCCTTTTTATGTTATAATTACTAAATTACTAATACAAATTCCTAGCTATTGATTAACAATGCTTTATATAAATCTGATGATGGCGGCCATTAAATAAAAGAAAGAATTTTTCACAATTATCTAATATTAAACAATGAATACATTGATTGAACTAATTTTTATTCTGAATATATCAAAACAACTCTTCTTCAAATTAAGCTTACATATTAACAAAGATAACAATAACATTATGCTTGAATAATACGGGCAATTGCCCAATTTTCACCCAAAAAAAATAGATAATAATAACGTTGCTCTTTTTTCCCCCTTTGACAGCCACATGCGGGGTGTGTCGTTTCAGAAGTTTAATTTGTAATTTCCATAATAATTAACGACGTTAACATCTTGAAAAAATGTTTATAGCACATTAATTGAAGTTCTTATGAAAATAAAGTAGCTAGGTTGTCTAATAAGAAGCCAATACTATATGATATTTTCTGTAATTGACCATGCATTTTTTTGTTTTTTTGGGTTTGTAGCTATAAGGAGAAAAACATGAAGAAGCAATACCTAATTGAGGCGGAACCCTCAGAAGAACCACTAAGCAGCAAGAAACAAAGCACAGTTATTGCAAACCACCGCAGCAAGGGATTACTTTTCTTCATCTTTCACCAATATAATCAAAACCTGCATGCAAACAACAGTTTTAGCTTTAAAAGATCTCAAGAAACCATGAAGGAAGAAAGAGTACTGTTAAGATAATGCACCTACTTATACTCTAGGATTGGAAACGAAATCTACCAACTAATTAAGAGCCAAAAAGAAAGTTACCCAAATTGTTCAGTTCTCAAACCCGGCCTTGTGCTGGTTTGCTCATATTGAGAAAGAAAATAACAAACATGCAGTTTCTGACTAAACAAAAATTTATAAAGATGAAAGACAAAACTGACCGAGTTATTTTTGAGGAAACGAATTTCTTTCTCTTTGTCACTAAATTCTCTTTGGAACTTTAGCATTCAGGTACTTCAAAATCACAGTTTCAGCCATTTGCGTGAAGCAAAGTTAATACGCTTATATAGAATTCAAGTCCTTCTAGCTTCTCTTTGATGTCAAGCTCTTTTTTTTTTAATTATTATATTTGACTAAAATATTTTGCTTGATGAACCGGCGAAATGTACGGGGGAATAATCGACAAATTAAATTAGTCTAATTAATAATAGACTAGTCTAATGAACAGGCACTCAAGGGCAGGATAATGTGTATCACACGCTTAAGCAAAACTCTGACCTAAGAAACATATGATGGCTACCTTAAATTTATGGGGGCAAAAACATGGGAGATAGAAAATAATGTCAAAGTTTGACAAAGGACTAAAATTCGTATTAAGGAGAATTTGACTTTGATTTCCTTTTTCCTTGGTCTCAACAAAGAATATAGGTATTACGAAATGTATGTTGTGCCGTTATACCAAAGATTGACATGATTAATCATAGACCTTTTCGTTGACGTAAAAAACTTGCCCCGAAGAACTGGTAGTTTATATAATTCAAGGAGGTGCTTGGTGTACACCTAATTCGCAATCATAGTCAGAAAAATCATCTATAGAATTAATTATATACCTAACTTAAGAGCCTACAAATGGTATACGGTTGAATTTACTCTACCAAGCCTACCAACCTTAGACAAATACTGAATATATGAATCAAAATTTTCAATATTCATCAGCGTAAGGGCCACGATAAAACACAAATTAAACGAACTAATTAAAACTCTTTGTGAACTCAGTGGAATTATCCCCCCTATACAAATCAAACTAAATTTGGAAACAAAATTTCAGCTCCACGGAGATCAATTTTAAATTTTAAAGCTCTCGTTTTCTTTTTGTGTATGTCACCTCTATTTTCCACTCTTGTTCATCGATGAATCTGATTCTCTGAATTACTTGTTTTATATTGCTAGCGAAGAAGACAGGTGTTTATAGCTCACTCAAAAGAGATGATTTATATTCCAGGATCAGATAATTAAATATTTAAAGTACGAAAGCGAGATCTGAAACGATAAATTTGAAGTAGGAAAAGTAAAAGAGAAACCGAAGCACATTCAAATATTCAATTCGCAATTCAAAGAGAAACAGATTTAAGAGATTGTACTTCTGTTGAATATGTATATCTAATTAATATATAAATCTAGAAAATAGAATTGTAAAATACCTACAGGAATAAAAATATTCTCTCCTTGAAAAATGTAAAGCATTTTTTTTATTGATTGGATGTTTAAAAATGTAAGGGATTCTTAGTTTTTCAAGGTATAATTATTTTCTTTTCTCTAAAAGTACTTTTATTGAATAAATTACTTTATATTTATTTTATGATAAAATATTCTATTAAATAAGGGTAAATATAGAAAGATAGAATTAGTTTGAAGACAAATGACTACTTTATTGAAAGTAAGATTCAGTTAAAAATACTTTATATTTTTTAACAAAAGGAGTATACTCCAAGTTATATTGAATCCAAAACCACAATGTGAAAATCAAAAGTAGAATATTTATTTGATTCCTAAATGAACATTCGTAAATATACCTAATCACAACTCTGCGCGCATATATGAGTAGCTCACTGTTTCTTGAATGTCGTTTATTTAATCATGTGTGTTGTTGTTTTCTCTTATACTATATTTTTTCTGTTTGCTGCCGGTTTTTAATCCGATTAATTATAATCGAAAGGGGACATTCCAGAAAGGGTAAAACAATTTGTTCCATATTCATCGAAAAGAGGGATGAGAAAATAAAGCTAATGAAATACTCGCGCATGTCATGATTTGTTAGGGAGTAACAGATCGGTCAACCTAAGTTTTTGAAGTTGAAAAACGCATACGTTTACTATTCGCCCAGAAATATCAGAGCGCCTGCAATGGTCATTATTTATGTTCTAACTTTGGTTTGAAAAGTCCATTATCCGCGTTTAACATTTACATAACTGTAAAGGTTGATTTGTTTCAATTCTCACCTACCGTTATCTAGACACTTGCTTCTCTTGATCTAATTGATTAAGAAAAATAGTTAAAAGATTTTTTGTATAATTAAAATGATAAAAAATTATCACTACTTTTCAAGATTAATTTCTAATTAAAATCAATTTATCTTATTTTTTTATTTCTTTTTTATATAAGATCTCTCACTGCAATATAATTAATAAGGACATTTGTGGAAAAGAAAAATTAATATTATTGACTTCTTTGCAAAGTGTCATGCATTATTTAGGCTAACACTAGCAGGAAAAAATGTTCTACATTTTAGACATGGGCAATATGCATGGTTAAAACTTGACAGCTCGCTCCTCTTTCTAGCCCCACTGGTTGACACTTGAGATCCCTCTACTGATTCTGTTATCTTTTATATTTATGTATTTATGATTTTTTTTTCTTGGATATATTACAAAAATTAGAAGATTAGAAGAAATGAATCCATGATGCAACAGATTGAAATTTTTTTGAAAAACGTGCATTCATGATGATTAAGCAAAGCTTTCACAGGATTTATATCATCGTCACTAATTAAAATATCTAAAATTTAAACTCGAAGATCTAAATATAGAGTTACAATAACACCACTAGTGACTCATTCAACTTGGAAGACTAATCAACCATTCTTTTAGAGTCATAATTAAGTATGAAAACAAGGCACGTTTCTAGAGCGTAAAGCGAGACTAATATAATAACTACTACCACCACCACGTTTCGAATTAATTGTTCCCAAACCTTAACCAAATTAAGTACATGTTTGAAATTAGAGATTAATCTGTGTCCTCCAATTTCTGCGGGTTTCACTGCTCCTCATGTTTTCAAATTGATAATGAACTCGGAATTAATAACGACCAACGAAAGAAGCTATAGTAGTAGAGATTATAGACGAAGAAAAACACATTGCAATTAATAAGCAGAAAAAGTCTGGGCTGGAGATGGATCTGTACCTTTCAGAGAACAAGAGAGATAGAAACTATTAGTCGTAGAGGACTTGAAAGAGATGATAATAACAGTCGTATTTGTGTGTGTCTGAGATTTCAAAGCACGGTGCGCCAGTTGCTGCAGAACTATGAAAATGAGTTACAGCTTTTGAAAGAGACACAAAAGGGAAGCGGAAGAAAAAATATGAACAGCTGAATGAGCTCTCAGACGGAGCCCAAAAAATTTGTTTGGAGGCCGAAGTAATCAAGTATATATGATAATTAAAAGAAAATTAAATATATATATATATATATATATTATTAACATAATAATATAAATATTTCAATCTATATATTTATATTTAATTTTACACACACACATAACAAAGATAAATATATATTTTTATTTTTTAAGTTTTGTTGCATAAGAATAATTAATTATCATATTTATTATAAAATTTTTAAAAATTTCCTTTTCAATATAAACTATCATTAGATTGTTGAAGATTTTATACTCTCCATAAATATTGAATACTTTAAATGCATTCTTAAAATTTAAAGTTTATTTCAATATATTTTACAATATATTACTTACTTATTTATTATTTAACTTTTTTTATTTGATTTGTTCTTCATTCAATATATTTTACATTTTTTGTCACAGTGCTTCATAAAATTTATTACTAATAATTTTTATAATTTCTTTCGTCAAGTATAAAATAAAAATAAAATTAAATAATATCAATGCTTTAAGAGCAACTATAATATTATTTTGTTAAAAATAAGTAGACCTTATAACAATTATATTAAGCTACTACAACAGTTAAACTATACATGTATGAAAAAACTACTATAAAATTAAAATAAGAATTTCATTTAGTGTCTCAAAACTTTTGTAATATGCCAACTTAGGAAGTCAAAAATATATAACCTCTATATTTTACTAAGAAAAAATTAAAAAGTTAGAGAGGTCATGACCCTACTATGTTAATTTAATATAATATGTTTATTTTATTTCCCCAAGCAGGCATCACTTTTATTTTTATTTTTTATTTTCAACGAATTTTTTTTTTCAGATAGAGTTTTACCTTAAACATCAACCTTATGAATGAATATGACATTTTTCAAATTTTGCGGCGCAAAAAATACAATATTAAATAAATTAAATGAGGGAAAGAAAGAATCAAGTATTTAGTAAAACTCCAACATATATAAAAAAATACAGGGAAAGAAAGAATTGTAAATATCAAAATAGGGAAATAAATCTGTCTTGTTAATTTTATATATTTTCTAGGAGTCTCTTAAAAATAATGCATTATTATGTCAAGGTAATGAAGATTATAGCAAAACCATCAACCTTTTATTAATTTATATAATTTTGTCAAGGCGGTGATGCCCTTTTTGGCCAAAAAGGGTAATATATAATTCGTATTTCGTTACAACTTTAAACATAAACGCGCTCTTTGTTTTCGGGTCAGTTACAGACAAAGGCGCATTAAAGGGCTCCACAGGGTAGGCCTATGGATCTAAGATGGGCTGAGAAGCGCTGAAGCTGGATTTCTAATTTGGTCCAAAACTTTCTGGTTTTTTAACCATTTTTTTTTAGCTAGGCTAATAATTAAAGGTACTTTTTTTAAAAATATATATATAGAATATATTTACATAAAAAAAATTTGAAACAGGTTTATTTTTTATTTTGTTAGAAAATATTTTTCTACCCATCAAATATTGTATCTAGGCCCCAAAAAAACATAACACTTCTTGACGAGAATAAGCCCTTCCACAAAATATTAGTAACAATAAATATTCACTCCAATCTTCAATGTAGGAGCTATTTAACAAATTCATATAAATTTAAAAAATTATGTAAGTTTGTTATTTGTAAAAAATGTGAGTAACTTTTCTAAACTATCCCTCTTTTTTATAATCATTTACATTAGAGTATTATTAACCTAGCTTATCTACCATAAAATCTAAATAGGGGTGATTTGGGGAAAAATAATAAGTATCGGAGATATATGAAGACTTGGATTTTACATTTAGAATTAAAAAAACATCAACTAGCTAGCTCATATATTTAGTGTGGGGAGTAATAGTACTAAATTTTAAAGCCAGTAATTATTTAAGCATG